TTATTTCAACGTTGCAACCAACATTATTGAGCTGTTTTCTGTCAAACAACTTGATCGCTGTGGATATATCCACAATGTCTGTTTGGATTTCAATTTCACAAGTTAATGGCCTATCTATAGTGATGTATCGATTGCATATAAATCTTGGAAATTCTGTAGATTCTACGTGGAAAAAAGCGTTACATTATTGATTATTACTTTGTTTTACATTTTCTGGATGTTCTCACTTCATCTCAACGTTTAAACGGTATTCATTCATAACCCACTCATTGGTATGATTTTTTTCTTCTTTTTGTGCATCATCTTTATCCATTTTTTGTAAATTAAATTTTCTACGATTCATAAAATATTTATATCTGCAAATTTTTCATTATTTCTTTTTATGATTGTTATTGAGTACTAAAAATTTCACTAACATTTTACACTATTGCAAGCAATAATACCAATTTTGCAACTTACATGTTGTTAACGTTTTGTTCATGAACTGATTTTGCTTTGTAGATACAGGGAAATATTGTTAGCGCAAAATTTTGGCTCAACACCTTATTTTTTTTCATGTAACTTACAAAATGCGCACTGCATATTATTTCATGTGGTTATAACGACTATCCTGAATCATCATAGCTAAAATTAATTTAGTAAAAGTAATTTCAAACAATGGGTAATATTGATTTATAAAGCTATAATTTGAAGGGAGTTTATAACATTCACTTTACTCCTTTTACAGTTAATATCCACTTTTGCTTTTGCAATAACTTATGAATGGCGGTTGGAAATTTACAAAATTTAACATTTGTATTTTTCCTACCATTGTTTGTGCAATTACCTACGCAACAACATTCACGTCCTATCTTATCTTCAGTAGATTAGTAAATGCACTAACTTTTTAAAACAATGTTCATCTCATTACATTTAACCTCCGTATTGACATTGAATTTCAAAATACCTTTTGTATTTTAGCTCTCTTACTTCGCTAATCGTACCATATAGCCAATTCAACTGTTGTTAACTTTAACATTTTTAATTATTACTTAATTGTGATTTTATTCACTAAATAGTTTATATTTATTAATGTGTCCATGCGACTCAAACATAATTCCGAAATCATATTCCGGAATCATATTATTTTATACTATGTTATTTTTTATTTACTAGGTGAAGAATAATATTTCCAATCTACTTTTCCATGTCAAACAAATTTTTCCATATTGTTTTTGGAAAATAACATAAAACAAATTTACACAATTTCGCGAAACTTTAACAAAAGGAAAGTTTATTAAATTCTAAAGCGATTATAGTTTTAAAAATTGGGGATCACCGGCAGTCTGAAAAAATTATTAACAAAATTTTTGACTAATATTGAAAATCGATGCCACGGCGCAGCGTTCATTTATTGTTTCACTTTTATAATTTGTTCTAATCAATATAAAAATTTAAATATTGATATACAAATATTTATATTATTATATATTATTATATATTATAACAGACTTTTGTTCACTGAAGTTACGCATTTCATAACTTTCAGGCTTATATTTTTTCTTGAATTTTTTCTTAAACGAAAACGCACATAAAATTTTTGCAGACTGTAAGAAACTAGATACTATTAGGAATATCTCAAAATTTTTTCACTTCAATCTATCAATAATTCTTTTGTTACAAGCGAACTGAACATGAGCAGCGCTTTTTTAATGCCGAGAAACAAAGTTAAAAAGAATTTCCTAGTGAAACTATCTTAATCTTCTAACATTGATAGTATTATAAATTTTGATTTCTTCATTGATCGTTCAATGACATCTATATTGTGTAATAATTTTGCTAGTAAACTGATTGTTTAGAAATTACAAGTAATCGTCATAAATTTTTATTTTTATTCGTATCAATTGATTCTAATATAATGAATTATTTAACTAAAACATCGGAAAACTATCCACTATTATAAGTATATTCAAGTATATTGTATCAGTTTTACGAACAGGCAAGAAGCCGGACACGAAAGAAAATTATCTAAAATTATCTAAAATTTATGAATTGTCGGTCATAATTATTCTAATCATTTGATCATTACTTCTAATACTACATATACACTATAATTGACATGAAATAGTTTTTATTAAATTATTGAACACCAGAACGGTATCTGAATCCACTCACAGTGTTAGATATTGTCTTGTTATATTGGAATAGAAAATTCGTATTAAATATTTTTTTGTAACGATTATAAGACTAATGATTTATTTTATTCATATAAATTGATAATATTGATTGATAACAGAAACACACACACATACACAGACATATATACGTATATTTATGTGTATGCATAAATGTATGTGCATATATTTGTTGTAGAAAATTTAATAATTTATGTAAAGCATCTGAAAATAATTATAACATTTGTACCATTTTAGTATATAATAAATATATTACACTACTTTAAAAATTTTAAAAACAATTCATACGTCATATTGAAATACAGTAAAGTGGATTTCATTACTTTAAAAAGCTTAGAAACGATAAATAATATAAGAAAGTACAATAGATGGAGACACACATTAAGTTTTAAAAAAGTAATAGTAAAATTTGAATATAAATTTGTTCGATTATTAAAAAGAATAATTACCATTAATATGTTTACATAAAATAAGACTACAAATAAAGCATTCATGCAACTTTTTACTTTGTTAAAGTCATTTTTATGTAAATGTCTGCATTTTTGGATCTTGTAATGTACGACACTGAAATTATATATAACTTTATTGATTTTACAGATGTCACTCAACTTGAAATTAAGTTACATTAGTTCATATTCTTTCGATCTCTCAAAAATTGCTCATGTATCACAAAGGTGCTAATAATAAGTTTATTTGATTTCTGACCTATCTTTTTATGTCCATGCAGATAAGTTTTTTACTAATGAGCATTTGTTGTGTTCTAATACTCTTCAAAGTACGGAGCCATTCCATCAAACTTTTTCACTTACAATACAGTTATTCTCGCTACTTTTATCAGAATTATCTTCGTAAGAAAGTTTGCGTACTCTAGTAGGTAACCTTTTGGAATTATTGTTTTTGTGAAGTAATTTTCTAGTTGCTTTCTAATTTTTGCTATTGGGTAACTTATTTTTTGAAATTCATGGAGAATAAGAAATATAAATTAGCTCATTAAAAAATACCTTCACTATTTTCTTTCTTAACATTAAAAAATCTGGTTCCTGAATGTCTCTAAAAAGAATGAGTACAAATTAAAATATGCTGTTTTAAAGACATCTTATTGATAATTTATTGTCTTACCTGTTACTTGATCTATGAACTGCACACATAACTAAATGTACAATATTTTTTCTCTTTCTAACATTTAAACTTAACATTTTCGTATAACAATCAATGATACTCTTTCCATTAAAAATCTATCTTAAGATATTGTATACATCAATGTTCTCTGTTATAAACAGTGATTAAATTTTTCTACTTTATTTATTTTCTGTATGGGAGACCTTTGTGCAAAATTTATTAATAAAAAATGAGATTCATCTGTGCAATGCAATTTGGCAAATAAAATTGACCTATTTCATATAGTGTGAAAATCTGCCAAGGTTTTATAATGTTCAGTGTAATTATTATTATTATTATTACCCTTGAACAGATGCGTAAACCATTCAGAGCCTAGCTAAACCAATAAAGTATAAATGTCATCTTTCGGCAATTATATCATAAAGTAACAATAACTGGCGCAAAACTACAAATTATAGTCTATCAATATCTATAATGAATAAAAACTTATAAATTTAGCTTAATACTACTAAAATATAATGTTATTGTATGCTAAATAACGGAATTTTAACGTAGGGTCACATTTTCATGAACAAGCTAGTCGATGGGAAACGGTAATAAATTTCTTACTCTCGCGATCTTACTCTCTGTCTGTTTGTCTGTCTGCCTCTCTCTCTCTCTCTCTCTCTCTCTCTCTCTATCCTTTTCATATAAATTTGGTCCTTCTAGCAAGAATTACTTAAGTTAATAAAATAATATGAACATGCAAAATCTCGATCTCTACGATGGTAGGATTGGACTAATCAAAGTTAAAGTTGATTGAATAACGGATAATGTTGGTTCAACATAGCGCTGTTACTTTAATCAATACAATATTAAAACTACATAATCGACATTAAAACAACAGATCTATCTGTTACTTCATTTTAATAGACAGCACTCCATGAAATTAACAAACCAGTTTATAGAATCGACTGTTTTGCCGTTGAATTACTTAACAGAGGATCAGTTAACTTAATTGCTTTGTCGTTCAGTCAACAGAGGGCCTGTAGAGTTGACAGGTGAGCTGTTGGTTGAACCATTTCTTTTTTTCAATGTACGTATACTCATGAACGCACGCACACTATATATACAATTGATGTCTTTCTGATATGTTATGATTCCTGATACATTCAAGCATAAAAAATAATTTCTAAACAGTACTATTTCGATATATTTTGTTACCTCCAAAATATTAATAAACGCACAAATATCAAACCATAGATAACTAATTAGAATAAAATCCAATTATTGATTCCTATAAAAATCTAGAAAAACAATTTCAAAAAATTAAATTTTCATTTTTATGTTCTGTCAGATTCAAGAAAAAATTTACACGAAATTAACAAAACATTTGTTTTCAGTCTATAATAGCAAATTAATAAATAGATATTTTCATAGAAAATTAAAATAATATTAATAGAAATAATGCTATATTTGAGATTATATAGAACTGTTTTATTTTTAGCACTATCAAGACATCTTATGGAATGATAATAATTCTTAAAAAGAACATTTAAGACTGATTTCATGAAGGAAAACTTGTTATAAATTATAACAAGATTTTTAAACTTGTTATTTTTTTTAAACTTGTTTTAAATTCTATATTTTTAGACATGATAATAAGATACTTTTCGTAAAGTTTACGTTAGTACCTATTTATGTTTCATTCAAAAATATAATGTTTACCTCGTCCCAGTATATTTCCATTGATCTTAAACATTGGTAAAACAATCACAAGAAACATAAATCCATAACATGCCAAAGACATATTTACGTCTTAAAATCATTGTTCACTTCCATATTATGCGACATATATAAAATACTATAAACGCTACAATTTCTTGAATATTCATTACACAGTATTTCATAAATAGCTGGTAAAAATTATGTATAATATTTCTAACAGTCGTTAAAACAAGTTATCAGTATTAAGTAATAGGTTGCTAAAAAAGAAACTCATTTTATTACTCCATTCGTTTCTAAATCTAATAATTCAATTTTTCTGCACTTATTACGTGAAACTGTAAATTTAATAACTTAATTGAATATGATAGTTACACTTTGATTATACATGTTTTTTTTATTCGCCGTAAGCGTTTGAATATAACAAATCTGTCAAGAGAACTGGTTTAAAAGAGACCCACCTTTTATCGATTCCTGCGCCATTACCCGTCATTCCTATTAAATCAATAACATACAGATTCTTACAGCGTAAAACGTTGACAAGCACTGAAATGCGAATCTGGTTCACGGATTCATTCCTAATTTTCTTCTAAGAATAATTGCGCAGAGATTTCAAAAATTTATCAGAATAGGCTTATCTATAAAGTCCGCCTATAATTGGTTTTTATATTTCGATTCATTGTATTATCATTTAAAAACCCCAAAAAAATATTGCACAAACAATATAATTCACAAAACAATATTTTTAGAGGTTAGTTCCAAATGATAAACCTTATTTCAGACATGTACACAAAAATTGGTTCTTAAATGACTTAAATTTTCTTTTAATTTTTTTTTATAATAAATGAAGACAACGATAATACGATAGCAACGGGCGCGAAAATTTGAATTTTTCGATATTTTTAATCATTTTAATTATAAATAAATTTTCAAATAATTTCACTTTACCTTCGTTGACATGATTTTTTTATTATTGTAGGCAAAGAAATAAAGAAAAATCTTTTGATGTACTGTTAATAAAGGGCCCAGCCGAATATGATAAGTCAAAAGTGCCCTCAATGATTTTGAAAAACGAGTTTTGCCATTATATTTCGCATACAAAAAACACCTTTTCTCAAATTTTTAGACCCCTATATCCACGTGGGGTTATATGAGACTGTATAAAGATTCAAACAGTTTTAATGATATCTCCGTCATTTTTTAAGTTAGAAACTTCTTCTTTTTTTCTTTTTGTAGAGTTTTACATTCCTAAAAGACTATTCAACCAAAAAAATTTTTAGGGCAAAATTCAAATTTTAAGAGCAATATTAATTATTTAAAATATATTTAAAAAAAACTAAGTATAATGCCGAGTTATAAAAAATTTATTAAGTGTATTTTTACTTGAAAAATACCCTTATATTTCTTGTGAACCCTAAAACGTGCCACGTTTTAGGGTGCCACCTGAACGCTTAAACGAAATAAAAAATACTAAAAACCACCTTTTTTTTACTTCTCTGACGTCCGGGTCACTACCTCAGGTACGTCTGAGGCGGACGTAATCTCAGGTGCTCTATTTGGTTTGCGTGCGTACACTTAAACCGGGACGAGCAATTGGAGAATTAGAGCTTTTCTACTTCGCGTTTCGCGTAAAAAGAATGAAAAATAGAACTTGACTACAAGCCTTCCATCAAACACCAGGGTCCAATGGAATCGGGACTTGGATGTGAAAATCCCAAACCTTGCCGGAATTATCACATAAAAAGTATTTGAATTTTTGTTTAACGGTGCGACTGTCTTATTGAAAAGTATCCCAATTCCTGCTGAAATACTTTTTCAAAGATTTATTCTCACGAGTTTCGATTGGCTACTCTAATAAGAAGAGGAGAAGGAGATATAATTATAAAAATTTTTAGTTTCAACTTACTTTTTCTTTTTATTCAATGTACTGATACTTGGACACTGACTACAATTGACTGATATAATTGACTGGTACTTGGAGAGATGAATCTGGACCTGGCACTTGGTCGACCGAGGTAAACTTTGAAGCTTGCGAGGAGCGAGAGAGAGCGATTTTTGCTTGCGCACGCCCTTTTAAACCCTGGGGGTGGTTGGGAGGAAAATCCCTCTTTCAGTCCCTCAAAATTTGGGAAGAGTGGAAATGCCAGTGAGTTCTGATTGGCTGACCGAGATTTTCCCTCCCTTTCTCTTTCGGATTTCGGGCCCTAATTGGTTCAGGGGCGTGGTGAGAATTGGGGGCGCGCGTTCAAGAGTTTGGGCCTTATCTCGCTAGATGACTCTCCAAGTACCATTTTTATTACAGTTTTTCTTATAATTATTAATTTATTTATTACGTAAAATTATTACAATTAATTCTTAAAAATAACGCAAGTTTCTTATTATTTAACATATTTTACGCGAAAATCTTTGATCCTACATGTTTATAATTTAGTAACTTAATTAATTAACTCACTTCGTTGTTTAAATAATATGGAACGAAAAAGGGGTATTATTTAATTGTGGACTGTATAACTGATTTGCTAAAATTCATTCAAGTAACTGTTTTCGATTATTTACCTCATATTTCTAATTTATAATTTTAAAACTTTGAGTTATTTTCAATGATTGCGCGGCAACTATGTTTCTAATCAAAAAGTGTGTGGGAGGTTTCAAGAAGCTGCGAAATTTTCCTATCATGCTGTTATTTTCCCGATTCATTTGTGTAAAATTAATTATTAAGATTTTTTTTTATATAGCAAAAGTTTTAGCTTCTAAAAGTGGAAAACTTTTGGGTGAAATCGAATAACAGGATGCAGGCGGAATTCCGCGGCTCCTTTACTCTATATCTAAACCTACTCAAAAAAACTTTACGATCATTCGAGGTAAAATTCGGAAAGCGCGCGACAAAGGGACGGCTATTTTCACGTGTCCTCCAGCTGCTTCAGCTGAAGGCTCTCCTTTGCTAGTTTACGGAGTTAAAATTTAAGCTACGCAAAAGTACATGAGGAAAAAAAAATAATTTATTGCTAATAAATGGCCCGACGTTACACCCCCCCACTTAAACGGTTACTTAAGGAGCGCAGCGAGGCAAAGTAATCGCTAATTAAGATGTAATTGTAGAGCATGGTAACCAAGATTTATTAACATTTACTGTCGAGAAAAGAAACTATTATTAGTTTGGATTGAGGACACTGGATGTTCCCTTGGTACGTTGGCATCTGTTTCTTGAGCCTTAACTGGTATGTAATGGGGTATCTGTATTGGCATAGGAACTCTACTTGCTTCTTCCTGGGATTTTTCATTTTCCTTCTGCATTGAATGGCCTAAGTGGATAAGGAAAGTTGTGAGACTGTTCCATATGGCTCCCAAAAGTTGGTAGGACCACCCATAAATACTATGCAGAGCCATGCCGTTGATAAAGATTTCTATCACCTTTTTAATTATTTGAATAATAAAAAGGATAGCTATCACTCCTGCACTGAATGTTCCAAACGTCATGAATTTACCCCACATTCGGTTCCAAGCGGTATGAACTAAGCGTTCTAAAGTGTTCTCATTGAGCAATTTATTAATTACTCCTTCTTGATCTTTCATCGCATGACCTTTGATTTCTCGAGCAACATCATTGATGACAGCTGATTGTTCGAGAGGGTACATGATTCGATTTAGAAGATCCTGCAGATCTTGTTCAGTATAAATACCACTTGTAGCGAGAGTTGGAATATCTTGATATTTCCATGTCATTTGAGCAAAAGGCTTCAAAATCTCTGGTGTTCTGGCGTCTACAGGACGTGGCATGAACTTATACCAATTTTCGTTGACATAAAAGTGAATGGACAGTAAAGCGTTACAATCCACTATTGTTCCTTGAGTCTTGAGGATATTTGTTTTGGGTGTCATAAATTTGGTGATATTGTTATGGACTACTTTTAATTCTTCATAACAGTCGGTCCCTGGCGAAATTTTTACGTCTACCGGGGATACATTTGACGACGTGAACTACTTCACCAGCCGTTACCGCCATATATCCAGGTCCTTTCATTAAATTGTACGCGAATTGATCAGGTGAATACGTGGCTATTGCTAAAGCATTTTTTAAAATTTCGCGTTCTTGTCTACAACGCTGTACAACCACATCTCTATACAAATTATTTATTTGATTTTTGATATAACGCTCAACGAATACAAATTTAGAATTAACGTACGTAAATATGTCTAAATTGCTTAATGATAATTTCTTTGCTACGGCAAAGGTTGAGACTCCTCTAGTGGTTTCAAAAATGAATAGTTTTGGATGTTCTGTTTGAACTATTTCATATCCACAGATTTGTCTTTTTCCTTTGGCCATTAAGGCGAAGGTAATATCTTCTGTTATCAAGGAATATATACGGTTCTGGTGCTCGTCTATTATTTTGTTAGCTATGCCTTCATATAATATCCCATAATGATTGAATTTACATATATCCCGTGGTATCGTTTTCCAGAAAGTATTACCTCCTTCCGGGTCTATACAGGTTTCTTCAGTTAATGTGCATTTGATACCTGAGCGTAGTCTTACTTGATCGTTATTTAAGTCAACTGGTGCTGTATAATCTTGCACGGTTATTTTTACTAAACCTTGAACTACAACATTCTCCCAGGTACCATATGCATCAGAATACACACCACCGTTCCAACTACCATCGATTTTTAAACTACCAGCTAGTGTTAAGGGTCGGATTGTGGTTTGGTTAACTTTAATATCGCGTAGTACACGTATTTCATCGAAATATAATGTGCCGGTATTATACAAGTCTGAACAGCGTTTTTGGCTGATCTCGACCATATATTCGTATATTCCATCTTTGACAGCCGAACTATGGGAGTGCATTCCACAATGATAAATGTGACGCTGTAGTTGTATCTTGCATTGTATCACGTGTACTTCCTCGAATTGGTTCAACTGTAATAACTGTATATGGATCTGAGTGCTATTAATTTTTCCGGGAGGTATATCGCATTCTTCTACGCCAAGCAAAGAAACAGTGGTAATGTTTAATGATCTCGCTCCACAATCGTATCCTATGATGGCTTGGCCTTGATATGCAATGGTAGATAAGATTAATATGTAAAATCCAAATTTATTCATATCCATTTTCTGAAAAATAAATAATGTTAATTCTTATGTTAACTATTAATTGCTGGAACGGAAAACCAATGATTAATTCGGTATATTTATTTATACTCATTATTACTATTATTTTATTACTATTATTTTACTATTATTATTATACTGGAAATGGTATTGTTCATTATATCTATATGATTTATTTATAAAAATTTTTTTTTTCTAGTTTTATACCTCTCCTCCCTTTTATGAATTATTATTATTATTATTAATATACGATATTCTAAGCCTATTCGCGTGAACTACTTTGGTTCCTTTTTTCATTTGTATTTT